TGCGGTGCCGGGTCTGTTGGATGGGATTGCCAATTAAACCAACTCTTCAGGGGCGCCTGGGTGGCGCAGTCGGTTAAGCGTCCGACTTCAGCCAGGTCACGATCTCGCGGTCCGTGAGTTCGAGCCCCGCGTCAGGCTCTGGGCTGATGGCTCAGAGCCTGGAGCCTGTTTCCGATCCTGTGTCTCCCTCTCTCTCTGCCCCTCCCCCGTTCATGCTCTGTCTCTCTCTGTCCCAAAAATAAATAAACGTTGAAAAAAAAAAAATTTTTTTTAAAAAATAAAAATAAAAAAAATAAACCAACTCTTCATTCAGAGCATCTGTTCGGTTCTTCTTCACTGGCATGGGTCAGCAACGCACGTGGACGATCGTTCATCTGTGTTAAGTCCGGCAGATCGGATAGACTCTCTTCACCTTCACACAATTACACTGCGTCAGAGCTGGTTGTAAGCCAAACCCTCCCTTTCCAGTGATTTCTATCACAAAACCGGTCCCATAGTTCCATGCAGAAATCTCAACTTGGAGCCGAACTCTGGAAAGCCCCGGTCTGCTGGGTGTATTCTTATAGGTTTAAAACCTCTGCAACAGTTTTGGGGCGCCTGGGTGGCTCACTCGGGTAAGTGTCTGACTTGGGCTCAGGTCACCATCTCGTGATTTTGTGGCTGGGCACTGACAGTGCGGGGCCTGCTTAGGATTCTCTCTCTCCCTCTCTCTCTGCCCCTTCCCAACTTGTGCACATGCGCTCTCTCTCTCTCAAGATAAATAAGCTTTAAAATTAAAAAAAAAAAAAATCATAAAAATAAGCTTCAAAATAAATAAAAACCCTGCAATGGCTTAAAATCCCAAGTTCTGCCTTCTACCACTAATCTTCTCTTCTTCACTGGTCCCCGTTTCACAAACTGACAGAAATTTCACCAGTGCTCAGGGGTGTCAATCCACACAAGCCCCTTCCGGTGTCTGGCTGAGCCACGGGTCCTACCTTAGCTCCCTGAGGCTGGGTAGACATTTCTCAACCACCGAGCTGCAGTGTTAAGGCCTCACCAGCAGGCCTCCCACCTTCACACAAGGTCTGCTCTCACAACTCCTGGAGTCTGAGGCTTCTGGTTACACACTACCACCTGCTGAACACCTAAAGAAAACCCTGTGTGCTGAACATCTCATCTCAAGAATACGATGTAAGTATAATGTAAAAAAACCTAGAAAACCCAAACCCCGACTCTGCAGAGGAGAACCAGCAGAGGCTCAGAAAGACTTCTGAACAAACCCTGTTAAAGCAAGTTAAAGACAGAAAGTAATCTGAACAACTGGTCGCTGTGAAAAACCCTTGACCGAGAAAATACGCTGCGAGAAAAGAGCATGGGAAGTTATTTTTCTGACTTTTAGTCAACAACAACCAAGGAGACAGAGAGACAAACACTAAAATAAAAACTGCAATAGAGAAATCTACCTAAAAGAATTTATAATTACCAGAAGTTAGTACCAGTGCTGCTTTTCTTTCAGAATTAACATCCTAGAGCCTGAAGCAAGACATGCTACTGAAGCGACTGTCAACACTTTTCTGGGCCCTTCCCCCCAGGGACCGGGGGTCATCAGCAGAGACACACAGGACCATGTCATGCCTGCACTCACGCTGCTGGTGCACCCGGAGACAGCGGCCAAGAACTGTGGCCTGCAGACCTTCAAGCCAGCAGTCAGCTCAGAAGAAAAATAACGAGTTTCAGGGTCAATGCCCAGCCGCAGGAAAATAACTTTAAGTGGGAAGCCATAACTAAAACCTGCAAACCAGGTTCTGGAAAATCTGGACACCCTCAATCGGTACACGAGCGTTTGTGATATAGAACATATCGAAACATGTATGTTCTATATCTATATGTTCTATAGAACATATAGAAACATACGTTTCTCTGGGAAGAGGGTTCTCCCATGACCCAGAAAAGGTTAAGAGCCACAGTGCCCAACAAAACAAAACCAAGGACACGTCACTGTAACGAAAATGTTAACAACGGTGGGGCGCCTGGGTGGCTCAGTCGGTTAAGCGACCGACTTCGGGCTCAGGTCATGATCTCGAGGTCTGAGAGTTTGAGCCCCACTGTCGGGCTGTGTGCTGACAGCACAGAGCCTGGGGGCCTGTTTCGGATTCTGTGTCTCCTCCTCTCTCTGCCCCTCCCCTGCTCATGCTGTGTCTCTCTCTCAAAAACAAACATTAAAAAAAAAAAATGTTAACAATGAACTGATGTAACACACTCCTCGCTCCCTCTCCCCGAGTGCCAACGCACTGATGAAGTGATCTCCTAAAACGGAGCAAAAGCCCCACACCTGACCCTGGAACAGCAGGAGGAAGACACACGGTTTGCCGCTGGGGTGAGAAAACCCGACCTAACAAAATCACGGCAGTCCGACATGAGCGTGTGTGTTTCCTGTGGATCCCGAAGACTGCCGTGAGCAGCGAGAACCTTCTACAGCCAGAAAAGCGGCTAGACTCGCGGCGTCACTTTTTAAAAGACAGCTACGCAAACACCCTCCGCCCCGCAGCTGGACCCTCCCGGCTGTCACAGCGGCTCGCCCCCCTTTCACGCCGCCTGTGCTATTCCAACCAGCACTGAAGGAAAACCACTCGCTGGGAACTGTCCCACCAAATCGCATCGGGATGCAGTTCCACTTTGTGGTGACTCCCTTCTACTGTCTGGTTTACTAACGTGAAGTGAGTGTCCCGCGACTGACCGCGGGGTCGGGAGGACAGTGTTCGCCACACGCGAAGCCGTCCTCCTCCCGCTGGAACAGGCACACGCGGCAGCCCGGAGGGTCCCAGGACAAACTGGGCCGTTTTCCTGCGGCGCCAGCCTGACTCGACGGTACGTCACTTAACACGGGTTTTAAACTGGAGCCAACACACAGACGTCTGGGTCAACTGTTGGTGTTTCACAACGAGAAAGCACAGTCATCAACAATGACGACAAAAGCATGAGACTCCGAAAATCAATTTTGAGCTTGCAATGGGTCACTGTGAGTGCAGTCCCTGGTCTTGAGGGAATACTCATATCCGTGGCCGCTAGGGCTGCTTCGGACAGAAGGTTAAGAAGAACTAACAGAAGGAACGGCAGGCAGGTGTGGGGGAGAAGCAATTTAGAACAATAAAAAACGGAAACAACTGAGCGACGCGGCCTGAAGGAACGAGATGCAAAATAGACACAAATGGAGGGAGAATTTCTGCAGCCAACGCTGCTGGGTCAAGGGCCGCACACGGATCAGCGCGTGTGGTTGGTTCCGCAACCCTGCAGTCGGGCGCGGCACTATCCCGTTTTACAGATGAGGAAACAGGAGCACAGACACACGCCCCAAAGAGCACCACCCCGGAGCACACCTCCCCGATTAGCACGCTGCACCGGATGCGGGGGCTTCAACCGAGATGTCCTTGGTGCTCCCCCCAGACGAGACTGTGCTCCTAAGGCCTCAGGCACCGAGGCCCGGCGCCGCACGCGTGCTCTGGCAGAAGCCCGACCTCGGCTGGCTGACACCAGTTACCCTGAGAAACGGGGCTCGTGCTTCTATCCTACAGATGCAGAAACAAAGAGGGGCAAAGCACCTATGGCTGACCCCCAAACGATGCAGGCGATGGGGTGCTGACCCTCACCCAGGCGAAAATCGACACAGAACTTTTGACTCCCCCCCGAAACTGAACCGCTAACAGCCTACGGTTGGCAGGAAGTCCCACTGATAAGAACAGGTGATTAACATATATTTTGCAGGTTACACATTATTTGTACATATATAAATATACGTGTATGTATACACACATACATACGTACACACACACACAGCGTTGTCACAATAAAGCTGGAGCAAAGGAAACGTTACTAACAGAATCCTGAGAGAAAATACAGACACAACACCGTGCTGTATTTATCAAAAAGAACTGTGTATGAGTGGACCCACGCCGTTCAAACTGCGCTGTTCAAAGGCTCGCTGTATGTCCAAAGTATATTTAAATAGCAAGTGAGATACGGAATCTGGGTTTCAGCTCAAGTTCATCTCACTAAAAAGCTGGAGCTGTTTCTGTTCAGGCAGGCCCCAGGCATCCAGTCATTAGTCAGGAATGATGGTGAACTCTGGTATCATGCAGGTACTTGAGATGCTTTGTTCTATATATAAACACAAAGCAAGATTTCTCGACCGTAGCACTACTGACATTTGGGGTCAGAAAAGTCCTTGTTTGGGGGCTGCCCTCGTACAACATAGGAAGTTGAGCGGCATCCCCACTGGCCACGTATCAGGTACTGCGGGCCAGGGGCTAATTCTTAAGCTACAGACAAAGGGGAAACTTGGGGCCAGAGTCACTCCCTCGTCTCAGCTCCAGAGGGAACCACGACACCGACTCTGACCTGTCGGACGGCCGTTCGACGGGAAACGAAAGATAACGCCAGCCGAAATGCCAAAACTAAGAAAGGAGTAACCAGGTGTAATTCAAATGTTCACAACCTTACACACCTTTTTATAGAACGCTTTCACTTAGAACTAATTAAAATTAATATAATATATGGCACACTTTGAAAGACACCAAAAACTCAGCTTTATGAATTAGTAAATTAACTGCCACTATGATTTAGTAAAATACATGTGAACATATACACGGAGAACCCACAAAGAGCCTTTCCTTTTCTGGGAAAATTGACACACGGAGCAGCTTTTCGTATTAGATACATTTTAAAGCTTCTCAAGTTCCACTGTAACCTTTCCTTTTCAGAAAAGTTTGGTGACTTTCCTGATTCAGGAACAAGCACTGCTTATATCCACACCGGCCACTGATGAAGTCAGATCCACTCAAACCGTACTTCAGTGATATTCTGAACAAAGAGAGACAGTGGACTAGAATTGCAACGCCTTTTAACTTAAAACGCGCAATGTTTACGCATCCGTAATAAAATGTGAAGTAAACACTTCTGCTATCGATTTCCCTTTCCTTCTCACTCTTCAACGTACATTTAAGCGGTAACCAGCCACTCACCTGGATGACCTTATAGAAGTAGGCGTACTGCCGGGCTGTGTTCTTATACTGGCTGAAGACATCATGGATGGCTTGTGTGGACTGAAGGTCCCGAACTTCATCCTCTTCAAAGTAGAGAGGAGTGTCATATTCGCTGGGGAGGGTCTGAATGTAGGGCTGCCAGAAAGAGTTAGGGTCGGCTCGCTCACACAGCAGATGAAAGGCCAGTGTGATATTTCCCATAGCTTGAAGAATCCGGTCTTGAGAATATAAGGGCCCTGAATTAACCCAGACGTTAACAGCGTTAAGTTCCACAGAGTACCTTAAAAGGTATTCATTCAAAATATATATTCAAGGTACAGAAATAACCGGAAAGCCTTGTAATATTTAAGTTAACATGCACCTTTCTTCCGAAGATTAAAAGCATGGAAAACAGTATGAATTTGGTGGACTATTTCGCTAGTTTGAGAAAACATCCAAATACGGTGCTTAGAACTACAAAATAAAATCTCGTATTTTTATCGTTTGTACTTTGCCTTGAACGAGTCAGAAATTATTCTCACCCAACACTGAATTTTTAGCAGATTCAACGGTCATTAGTAATTTTCGTGGAACCCACAAAAATAATTCTTCTGCCTAGGAGGAAAAAAAATACGAAAATCATAGAATCATCAAAACATGTAACAATCGTCAGCCCAAACTTCATCTATGGTCAGAAACCCAATTACACAGGAAATACTATTGAAGGCTGCATATTAGCACTTCATCTTTAATCATCAAATATATTTAAAAAAATTTTTTTTTCTCAACGTTTATTTATTTTGGGAACAGAGAGAGACAGAGCATGAACGGGGGAGGGGCAGAGAGAGAGGGAGACACAGAATCGGAAACAGGCTCCAGGCTCTGAGCCATCAGCCCAGAGCCCGATGTGGGGCTCGAACTCACGGACCGCGAGATCGTGACCTGGCTGAAGTCGGATGCTTAACCGACTGCGCCACCCAGGCGCCCCTCGAATATATTTTTAAACGTAAGCATTTATGGTGCAAACAAACAGAAGCAGGGTTTAAAATCCTACTTCCAACAGAAACACTGACTATACATACTGAGAAAACAAATAAAAAATGGGACTTTCAACTTTACAGCAAACATAGCGATTTGGGGTGGCGCACAAAACTCTTAATTCTTTGCTGTACTTTTAAGTTCTAAAAACAAAACAAAATTTCTCTCTCCAACAAAAACTTGACTCTGTCAATATGAACTGTTCTTGCCATTGAATTTCTGAGGCCAGAGTAACATTCCTTTCTCTGCATGCTTGTCTTTAAGAAGCACAATGAGGGGCGCCTGGGTGGCTCAGTCAATGTAGCATCTGACTTCAGTTCAGGTCATGATCTCACAGTTCGTTGGGTCAAGCCCTGCGTCGGGCTCTGTGCTGACAGCTCAGAGTCTGGAGCCTGCTTCGGATTCTGTGTCTCCCTCTTTCTCTGCCCCTACCCTGCTCACGCTCCATCTCTCTCTCAAAAATGAATAAATGTTAAAAAAAAAATAATAATAATAATAATAAAGCACAATGATAACCAGCAAACACACAAGTCCCTAAGACATGTTTTGGTTTACTGAGTTTCTTCTCCAAAGTGTTACCTCATCTTTTGCCAACACGTGAGGTCTCTTTTTGGTACGTTCTGCATACGTATCTATGTTGCTTAAAACGTGCACATAGCAGTGCCCTGACTGTGGTAATGACATGGGTGTATGCTTATGCCCAACCCATCAAAATGTAAGCATTAGATACGTGCAGTTTTTTTAATCAATTAGACCTCAATAAAACTTAAAAAAATGCACACAGTGAAAACAGACCACAGCTGAGATACTCGGGGTGGCATCTATACAAATGATGCTTCTCCTCTGATACAAGAGAAGACCGTGTGACACCCTGGTTACAAGGGGCCTCCTCCCAATGTCAACCATTTAACTATGTTTCCGTGTGTCTCCTTCCTTACTATAGATTATAAGCATCATGAAGGAAGAGACCTTGGGATTTTTTTTTTTCCTTTGGAAGGCTGGTATGGTAACGAGCAAGGGAGGATTCACATACTACACATTTAATAGTGTCAAATAAACCAATCTACGTTGTATCACTGTATCAATGAAAGGCTAAGTACAACTTGACCAAAAATGTTGCCTGAGGTTTGAGGGGCCCGAATAAGTAACAGTCACTTCCTCCATGCACGTTCTGAACCCACTGAGAGAGACACAAGACTACAACAGATGGTCACCCAAAATATCACCTACTGAATCCCAGAATTAGACAGACTCCCCCACCTAGTTCCAGGCAGAACTGGAGCCCCACGGGCCTCCCCACGTGCCGCCTGCCCCTGTAAAGCTTATAGAGCAGAGAGAGCACAGCGGAAGGGATGCACGTGGGCAAGCAGCTCCCACCAAGAAAGAGGCCACGGCCAGCTCCTTCGCCCCAAGTCATCAGATTAAGCTATGCCTCCTGAGAGAGGCGAGTGAGGGGCAGAGAGAGGCGAGTGAGGGGCAGAGAGAGGCTGGGAATGTTGGGGTGCAGCTGCCGCCTTCATCTGGAAAGAATGACCCAGAGCAGAGGAAAAGCATTTGTCCCTTTGAGCAGATTGTACTGCCCTTCCTCCTTCCCGTTCAGCTCTCGCCGTGAGGCTTCAGCAGGTGGCACCACCAAGCACTCAGTCACCTTCGCCAGAAAACCAGTAAGCACCCGACACTGCCCGCCCTCTGCCCCACAGCCACTCTATCGTAGGCCCTGTGGGCTCCCCCTCCTAACCAACCTGAGCCCACATCCTTCCGTTCAAGTCTTGAATCCTTTGAGGCTTGTTCTGTGACCTCCTAACAGAGGCTCTGAAACATGAACTGACTTGCCCCAGGTCACTGGTTAGCAGCGCGGCTCCCAGGGAGGACGGACAGGAAGGGGCTGCCTCGAACACGGGCAAGGCTCTTCCAGGCCCCCGGTCAGCCTGGAGACCCCGCAGCAGGTCACAGTGTGCTGGCTGTAGGCTGCCTGTTCGCCTAAGAGGTCAGGGCAAGCCCAGACACCTGACTGCACGTCCCGTCCCCACACGGCAGCACAATCCAAGCACACGGAGGGCCCCCCGGACGAAGGGATCAAAACTCACCTTGATGTCTCTTGTTGCTCTCAAACCAAAGCCCTCTTCTTTGAAGTTGACCATTTCAAAACCCTCGACAGAGGCTCCATTTTCAGAGGCCCACTTCATTAGGTCGGGAAAGTAATCTTCTCTTTTTCCATCAAAAGTAACAGACAGACCTGTATCAATTCCATGTGTTAGAAAACAAGAGCTACGTTTAGGATCTATGGTTTTTCCTTCTGCTCTCGGAAACGAAAAAAAACACACACTGGAAATAGTGATAACGCTCCAATCTTGAAATCAAAACTCATCACCAGAGACAGGTGGTCACCGCACCTACAGAGGCGACCATTTTGTGATGTACGGAATATCCAATCCCTATGTCATACGCCTGACACTAATACAATATCACGTCAGTTATGCTTTAGTGAAAAACTTTAAAAAGAAAAGCTTAATAAATAGACAAATTGGCTTAAAAATTTTTAAGTACAGTAAATTGGAAAAGGCGGAATTCATACAATGTTCTCTGATTACAGCACAATCAAATTGGAAATCAACAAAAGGAAAAGATCTCGAAAATCCCCAAATAGTTGGAAGTTAAATGGGACACTTCTAAATAACACACGGGCAAAAGGAGAAATCGCAAGGAAAGAAAAACAGAACAAACCTAATCACCGAACAGTCCCAGTACATAACCTAACCAGTGACAAAGAGGCGCGTTACGCGCCTAGACCCCTGGCGGTTACAGGGATGCGCTTGCTGTCACAGGACTGCTGACTGAGGAGCTGCAGGAGGCGAGGCACTGGCAGGGGGCGCAGGGGCTTCACCACCTCAGTCGTAAGAGCAGCCCCCCCCAACCCGAGTGCAGCGTGCCAGGTCTCATCCACAGCTCTGCTTTAGCAAAATCCCCAGGGAGACAGAAACCGGCAGCTGGCACGGGCACAGGAGGCGCGTGCGGGGCTGGGCGCTACAGGCCTGGTCCTCAGAACGCAGGACCAGACGGTCTTGCACAATTCTGTCCAATGATCTGCATGAGGTGGACCATACGTATCACCGCAAATAAAACAAATGTGACACCGTGTTTCTAAAAATTCAAGCGGCCTGATACCATTTGTGCAAATTTTGAAGATACCACTTACGACCATGTATTTTTATGGGGTTATGCGTGAAGTGGAAACATATTCTCAGCAAAGAGCAACTCCAGAGGGCAAGAAGGGAAGGCGACAGAAGCATGGGGCTTCAGCTCTGACTGCAGCGTGTATTTCTCAAAAACAATGAAAACAACACACGGGATGGAGGGAGGGACAGGGTCAGACCAGCAGGTGGCAAGGGGGGGAACCCGGCTTGGGGGACTGATCCAGTCCGGGTGGGAGATTCTTCGGCGCTGTTGTGTTATTTTTTGGCCTTTTCAGCGTGTTTGAAATATTCAAAGACCTGAAGAGCCATGCTTTTTTCCAAAGCCGGGAAGAACCACATTTGGTGAATGAAGGGAGAGCAACGGGAGCTTCGAAACGTCAGGCGCAAAAGGCGCGGAGTCCAGCCCAGGCGCCCGCACTCACGCCACCGGGACACGGTCAATGGTCCCCTGGGTCTGTGAAGCAGGACGGCCAGGGGCCGTGCTGCACCACGGTGGACACGCAGGAGACTCAACTGTGTACGGACGCTCTCAGACAGAAGTCCCTCTTCACCGAGAACCCAGAATGCTCTCACCTTCGTGTCGGTCGTAGTTAGCAGGTTCTGCCGACAACAGACACTCAGGACGTACAAAGCTTGTTCAGCTATCCACTGGGTGAACTGGGATCAGCACAGTCTACCACTTGGTGCAAATAAACACATCGTAAAGGAACCTGTCACCATCTGGGGCCCGAGACCATCTAACCTAAAGCCCGGAGGTTCGCGGAATTACACAGGACAGCAATAAAACTACCACTACGGAGAGCAAATAAAAAAACAAACCCTCTTGTGATTCACCTTCAGGGCAATGTACAAAAACGGGGTCTAAGAAGGTTCTTCTCACCCTTTAAAACGCAGGCTCCTTGTGTTTTTCCCTGCTACCTCCCATGTGGCCCTGCATACCAATCTTTTATTTTTTGTGCTTTATAGAACTAAGACAATAGGCATATTGAATAGGCTTTTTCAAACTGACACTTGGCCCTGTCGCCGGCCCGGCTGAGAATCATTAAGACACCTGCTGAACACACCCTGTAAAAACACTGCTTTGGATATACAACTTCGCCTCTTATTTAACCAAGATTTGTTTGAGTTCATTGTTTGACTTTGATTAGTGCGTATTTGTGTGTTGATCACTCATGGCATTGTGTACCGACCTCAAACCCTAAAGGAAACACACTACAGAAAAACAAACGGCTCTCAACAGAGATTTCATAAAATACAGACAAACAAAAGTCGTGTCATCTTAGCCCCTGCATATGAACACTTTTCCCCTACAGCCGAACATTCTCCCTCCTTCCAAAGCCGGCAGCCACACCTCAGAATTGGGACAGGTCCTGGGACAGCTGCCCAGCGCATCTCTCCCTAACTCCGGGCCCCTTCGCAGTGACCTTCCGCAGGCAGGAATGACGCCGGGTCCTTCACTGCCCTCATAAGCTTTCTGACCTGTGCCAAGTCCCTCCGTGATTTTATTCAAATACAATTACCGTTCTAGAAAATGTACCTTTTTGTTTTTTCCGTATTTTCTCGACGAGAGACCGGATCTGCACGTACTCCTCCCATTCCTTCCCCGGGCCGGGTGCGGGGCTACTGCACCCTGGAACACAAACGTCACGGCACTCAAACACTGTTTGCTTTCAACTTACCGGTCAGGCTTCAGCACAAAGAAGATTTGGGTTTTGCTGCCACTGCTGCTTTACTTTTAATTTTTTTTTTAAGTTTATTCATTTGTTTTGAGAGACAACTGAGAGAGAGGCAGAGAGGGAGTGCAGGGGAGGGGCAAAGGGGGGGGGAGGGAGAGAGAGAGAATCCCAAGCAGGCTCCATGCTGCCAGTG